TTGAAATAAGAAACCTTGTGTTATATTCAAGGGAGTAATATGAGAAGAGAAATACAATGGAATAATAGAGAAGACATGACTTGCGAGATCCTATTTATCCAAAAATTACAAGCATTCACTCATAAAACTAGGTCGACTCATCCATATCATTCATCTATACTTCAATCACATTGATACATAGCATACTAATGAAACACATTTCATTCATAAAATGATTATAAATCTATGGTTTTGGTCATTTTATAAATTTATTAAAATTTTTCTAAATTTCAATTTTAAAACCTTTTTGGGCTTGAGCCCACTTTGGGCATATAGGTTTGTGGGCCTCGAGGGTTATAAGCTTCGATGCCTAAACTCTCGGTTTGGCATGCTCGTGTACACTGTCGGTGGCCAACGGCCTAGCACGAGGGCACTTAGCCGGTGGCTTGTAGCTTGGCCTGTACGCCCGTGCGGAGCACCGGCTCGTTACCCGGCACGCATGCTCGGTTTGCGCGGCACGGTAGGCTCGCTCGCTGCATGCCGAGCATGCAACCAACCGATAGGGTTGTTGTGCACACGAGCGTTGGTGTCCAACATCGGCCTCGCGTGTCCACACTAATTTTAACCTAAAATTCAATTTTATAAATTACCAAAAACACAAGATTTATAATTAGGATTAGCTAGTTCATGCAATTAATCATAATTAACAAATCATACAATCAAAAATTCAGTGGAGGCTCTAAAACCAATTGAAGAATCATGCATTCTATGGAGGTGCAAAGTAAATAAAATTTTTTTCTCCATCTAAGGGCCTAAGATTAAATAGTTGAATCCACTAACCATACATGCATGAATTTAAAGCAATGAATAAAGAATTACCTATTATAGCGTAAATATAAATTCTTTTATTAGAAAATTTATCCAAGTGCCTTCTCTATTGAAGATCCATGCAATCAAAGTACCCACAAAGAAGTACTTAAAATCGATAGGGTGCTAGCTCCACCTTTTCTAATTTGTGTAGTGTTTCCTATAGAAATCTATTTTGAGCAATTTTATGACAGCCTTAAAAGAGAAGGAAAGAGTATGACATGCTAAGATTTTTAGAGAAAACTATTTTCTTCCTTTTTTTCTCTTTTTGTTGTTTGCTTTAGTGGTTTTTAAGGCTAGCCGAATTTCCCTTTTCTTTCTTTTTATCTTGTGTTTTGTCACCTCTCTCTCTCCCATATATTTATAGGAGAATTTTCTTATTCTCTAAGGACAAAGAGAGGGGCGACATTGAATATCTTTAAGAACTCTAGGTTGTTGCTTCTTTATCCTCTAAGGATAATGAATTATTTTACATATGGACTTTGATCATTATCTTTAAAACATTCATCCTTATCTAATAAGGTTGATGTTTATCCTCCCATCAAAATATCTTAAGACTTTTATTTAAACCGAATGGGCCAAAACCATTCTAGCTTAATTAATTTATTTAGACTATCTAAATAAATAATCTTAGATTATTTTAGACGGGACCACATTAAAAAGTAATTTTTCAAAATACCCTTTAACCTAAATTTAGAAACTAATTTTCATTTTAGGTTATTTATTTCTAAGTTTGAAACTAACTTTCAAATTAGGATTTCCAAATTAGGAAACTAATTTCTAAAATAAAAAACTTTTCATTTAAGAAAACTTTCCATTTTGGATTTGGAAACCCTTTCCAAAAAAGAAAACTTTCAAAATTTAAAACTTTTTTCAATATCTTTGCTTTTTATTTATCATGTGAATGCATAAACTTATGCATGTGATTGTATGTGACTCAATAGGCTCTTAGATATATTGGAAATGTATCATGAACAAAAGACTCCTCTTTTGTCTCTTGATACATAAATCAAGATTGACCTCTAACAAGACATCATGATTGTCCAATTCTTTAGAAGGATTAATTAATCCATAATTACCTTTCATGACCATGGTTACCATACAATTCGAGTTGTCATGTCAACTTATGACGAGTGTGATCTCAAACTTGGTTATAAGTCTTGTTCGATTGTGATCACATAAATTTTCTTCAATTATCAAAAGTCTTAACTCTTAGAGTAAACCAACTATGCTCTTTTGCTTGTACTCTTATTATGGCTATAGGTTTCTTAAGCGGATATTTATCGAAGTATAATATAATAACTTCTTTAGCATACAAGGAATGACATGTTCTATCTTAGTCATACACCTACCTCTATTAGATTCTTAATACACTCAACGAATCACCCATATGCAACCCTTTAATAGATCTATCAAAATTCATATCAAAGTATATAAGTCCTCTAATGAGACAACCGTGATGATTTCAAGTCTAATTACCATTTATACTTATCTCATATGAGATTCCTATAGACTAAAACCAAATGAGTTCTCATGGCGAGTCAAGTCTAGTGATATATTCTCTAACATAAATCACCTAAATGCTTGCTTTGGCATCATCATGCCAATAAGTGTGAGATCTCTTACTACTATTATATAGCATAAGCATAGCACTTATAAGCTTATTCGCATATAGTCAATATCCATTCTTGACAATTCAATGACACAGGATGTTTAATGATATCATTTATATGGATTAGTGTTTGTCTCACATCTTTTGATCAATCACTATTGCAAATACATATCATAAATATTTCTATCTAATTCTACTAAATTTATCAACATGAAACATAAGAATTAATAGAATGACTTTTATATTATTATTAAAATAAATGATACAATAATACATTAACTCGAGTCAATCCAAACTTGGTTAGATCTTTAGGCATCTACACTAACAAAAAAGAGGAGGAGGAAGAATTAAGTATTTGATCGAAACATCCAGAAAAAGAAAAGAGGAAAGATTTTGCAAGGATTCACGATAGAATCAAACTTAGTATCAATCAAAGTAAGTGTAATCTTAACTACACCATAAGAATTTTATATTGTTGATGCTAGATGATTGAAGTTTTAGAATTATTTGGTTTAGTGTTCAATTACTTTGATTGAGTTGAACTTTGTTGATTATGTTAGAAATGATAAATTATTTGGTGAGATCGTGGTTTAAATTGATGAATTACCATGTTTAGAAATTTAATTAAGGTTTAACTGAAAGTTGAAAGTTAATGATTTTGGGTTAAAAGATTCGGGCAAGTGAAAGAATTTGGGGAAATTTGTTTAACTCCATGTAATTGTGTTATTTGATGTTTGTAAGGTTGATTAAACTTGATTACATGTGTTTAATTAGAAAATATCTCCTTGTTTAGGTTGACTAGGTAATTCGGCCAAAACCAAGATTTAGGGTTAATGGAACTAATTTATGTAATTGTGTTGATTTAGGATTCATATGATTTTTTAAATATGAAAGTATGTATTTAAATGAAAAACTAACCTTGTTTGTCTTAATTGAATATTTTGACCAAATTCGGGATTAAGGAAGAAATAATTCCTTTCATGTGATTGTAATGAAAACATGTTTATGAAATTGTATAACATGAATTCAATTGTTTAAATGTGTGATTTGATGAATTAAATGTCAAAAGATTTAAACGAAGATATATATATATATATATATATATATATATATATATCACATGAGATCAATTTTCTTACTTCCAACCTACCATAGCTATCCATCTTCTTTCTCTCTATCTCTTTATCATTTCTCTCCTCTCTTTACCACGAACTCCATCTTAATTTTTTAAGAGAGAGAAGTAGTGTCACTTTTGAGCTTTGTAAGGAGTTTGGGTTTCGATTTGGGAGGTACAAAGGTGAAAGCGATGCCTGTGGAATGGCGGAGTTTGATGAGGAAGGAGGGTGAGGGTTCTTTCACGATGGTGAGGTCGTGGTAGTGGAGATGGAGAGAGCAAAGTGCGACTACAATTTTAGAGAAAGAGATAAAAGAATTTTAGGTTTTGATTGTTATATTTTCTTTAGAGATAAGATTGAAAACTTGGGAAGGACAATCTAAGGGTGGAGAAGAGATGAGAAAAAAAATAAAAGGCAAAGAAGTAGTAAGGCAAGATGAAAAGGGAAAGGAATAGGGGCTTTGAGTGGGTATCTATAGTTAAATGTCTCTATAGTTACAATGTTTCAAATAATAAATAAACAATAACATCTCATTTTACTTTAGTTTTTTTATTAATCTAACTCAGGTTTGAATCTCCCCACCAACATATTATTTTACATTTTATTCAATTCAAATATTTTTATCAATTCATATTAAAATTACTCACGCATTGCATATGTAACTATCAATTTTGATGAAATTAGTTACCCCAAAAGGTTATATTAGATAATAAAAAACCATCTAAAACTTATAATTGATGAATTTTTTTATTCAAAGGTACAATGGATAAATGGTAAAATATATAAGGCATTTTGATAGGCTTTTTGTTTCTTTTTTCTAGTTTTTTAATTTCATGTCTATAGATCGAGAATTTGAATTTAGATCTACATTGTTGCGGATGGAGTATTTGTCCAACCCATTCATTGGTCATGGTATTTCTCCTATTTGAATAAAATTTTAATTGTTGTTCTAACTGAAAGAAGGATATTGATATTCATTTGTCATTTTAGAACTTTATCAATAAGACCGGATCGTATGACAAGTTTCCTCATTGATTTACAGTGATTCAAACCTAATTATGAACATCAGGTATAATTAATTACTATATAAATAGTTAAAATTTAGAATTTTTTTTAAAGAAAAATTATCTTCCAAAATCATTAAAGTACAAACTATTGCCAGAAAAACAAATTTATGCCGTTGATGTTTCCAAACAATAAATTATAATTTCTTTATTTATTGTTTGGAAATACTGTTAATTTTCTTTCTCAAATTAAAAAGAGGCAAAACACTATAATAATCTTATAATTATTGTTATATAGTAACTACAAGCCGAAGCTTCTTTTATTTGGCCTCATATATAGAAGCAAGACTAAAGTAAAAAGACAGTATAATAATTCATCCATCACAAAGTGGTTTACTAGATGAGTATCTCATCGCTGTAGCATTAAGCGTACGCCTGAGGATTTGCAACTAGGTAGGCTTCCACAGTCTTGAAAAGAGCTGCAGCCTTTTCCTTGCCTTCCTTAATCTCCTCTTCCTTAATTTCAGCACCCGCATTTGGAAAATATTTGCTCACAATTGTACCTTTGCATCCTCCATCAGCTGTGGCCTCAAACTTGATGTCATAAGCAATTGATTCAATTTTGTCCAGCAAAACAACACCCTCAATTGTTGTGTAGCTATGTGTCATTTTGTCTTTGTCCAATGCATCAATCCTATGTTTCACATACTTACCTGCATAACAATAGGAACATATGTAGACAATAATTTTGTATCTCCCCATGTATAGCAATTGATCAATTATTGTAACGCAGAAATAATATTTGTGGCATTGAATAAAAATGTGAGAAGCATTAATTAAGTACTAGCCTTCAGCGAAGGTCATCTTCTTGATAGTTCCAGGGCCTCCATTTCCTTCAATTGTTTCAATACTCTTCACAGCCTGAGGCAAGAGCTTGGGAATGAGGTTGTCAGCATCAAGTATCAAGGCCGTGAACAACCTTTTGGCCGCAACAGGGCTGGAGAACTCCTCGGTGAATGTGAGAACACCCATGATTTTGCTAAAGCAAACAATGAAAAGAAGGGTATAAGAGATTAATAATAATGAAAGAAGAATTAGACTTCAGTAGGTTTTTTTCTCGCTGTTGTGTGGGTGACAAAGCAAAAACAGAGCTTGGGTATTTATAGATTGAAAAGAAAAGGATCTAATGAGTTAGTGCTAGCTATGTTTTTTGATGCCAATTACTATGGCTGGCACCAACTAATTCAGATAATTAATAATTCAGTTTGGAATCAGTAGCTGATCAGGCGACTGGAATTTACATAATTCTAGAAGACGATTTAGATAAGGAAAATTGTTGTCAGAGGCCGGTGATTTGGGCGCTACACCACCAGTTAGTCGGCATTAATGAAGAGCAATGTACTGGGACCATATACTCTCTCCTACTTAGTCGGCATTAATGAGTCATAAGTCCTATTTTCGTTGGATAGTACATCTGACGAAGTGAAAACGATTGGATAATTAAATGAAATCGTTGTTACTGTTATGGAATAATAAATGTCAATGATCATTTTATGTTATCATTATCTATTATTTTTAATATGATTCAATTTATTATTTAATTTAAAAAATTAAAAAAATGATGCAATTCATCTATATTTTAATAGCTTATAGTCTCTTTCAATTCTCTCCTTAATCTTGAAGTTAATAAATAAACTTGATTATTCATTAGTTGATATACAAGTTTTTTAAAGAGAATAAGAGAAACTTTGAAATTCTTATTACTTATATTCACATTATAGTGATTTTTTTTTTTGTTATCCTTTTTTTCAATTCTCTTATAATTTCTATTTATTTTATAACATATTATCAGCATGAAGCTCTAACCAATAGAGATAATAGACCATGAGGTATGTATCTATCAAAACACTTAATCAATTATTTCAACCATTGGGTTTCTTCTACACAAGTGCTATACCAAAAGATCTAAATTATTTAGATCATTAAGAGGTATGTATCTAATTTATCATGTACTTTAAATATATATATATATAACTTAAAATGATTTAATATATAGAATCTAATGATCTAATATATATTGTTTGAAAAGCTTTAATTCTATTATTATGTTTGTTATTATTTTTTAATATCATTATTATATATTACATTATAGAATTTTTATCATATCAAACCTCATAAACCCGATTTTATGGCTCTTGATATTTCCAATAAGAATTATTGATTATGAGTGCTTGATTCGAAAAAATATTCTCTACTTTTTATGTCTTGAATATGCTCCTGCAAGTAGCAATATCGAGAAGATGAATTTAAGAAATATTTTGAATTGATTTCATAGTTGCTCATGGCTAAATAAAATAAGAAGCTATTGATGAAAATGAACAAATCTCATCCAATTGGATTTACTTCATTCCCTAAAGTGAATGTAACGACTTATAATAATTTTGAGCATGAACAAAGATGTGATCATGGCCATGGATGTAATCAAAATAATTATCATTATAATTGTGATGACCATGATATTATATCTCACCACCGAAGTGGATAACTATGAAAAAAATAAATAAAAATAGATAAAGTCAATAAACTAAAAAATAAAAATTATAGATGTAGTATGAATGGACATTGGTCATGTACACCAAAGCACCTCATTACGTTTTATCAAATCTCGTTGAAAAAAGAAAAAAAAGTAAAATATAGAGACTAATATATATATATATATATTAGTCTCTATATTTTACTTTTTTTCTTTTTTCAACGAGATTTGATAAAACGTAATGAGGTGCTTTGGTTGGTCATATATATATCAAAATAGAGGTAATTGAAATTAATAAGTTATTAGCTTTTTTATAAATAAGATTTTTATATTTTCTTATAATTGCATAGAGATAATGATAAATTTATTTTACTATATATTTATTACTTATAGTTGTGAAGAATTTATTTATTTATTAGTGATTTATTTGATTATTTATTTTATGTTAATATTATATATGATAATATTAATCTAATAGAAAGTTCTAGAAGAACGACTATATTATTATCTAAAGAGATAAATTTTGAAGGCTCTAGAAGAGCGAATATATTATGACTCGAAGAGATAAATTTTTGAAGCTCTAGAATAGTGAATATCTTATTACTTAAAGAGATAACTTTTAAAGGCTCTAGAATAGTCAATAAATTATTACTTGAAATGGCTAATTTAAAGGCTCCGGAAGAGCAAATATATTATTAACTAAAATGATAAATTTATTATAGATGATGTACTATTTCCTTCAAAGTTTCATAGAAATTTATTGAGTTTCAAAGATATTCATCTAAATTGATATCATATCAAGATAACAAATGTGAATACTTATATATTATAATCATTATATCGAGTAGAAAATATGTATTGAAAAATTTACCCGCTTTCTCTTATACTATTTATTATAAATATTAGAATGATTGAAACAAATACTATAGTAAACCGAAGTTTACTAATTCAAATGCTTTTATCATGTGACATGACCAGTTGTGCTATATTGGGTCTTTCATGATGCGAAAAATTATCAAAAATTCATATGGACACCAATTGAAGAGCTAGAAAATTCTTCAATTTAATGAATTTTCATGTTACGTATGTTGTCAAGACAAATTCATGATAGAGCCATCACCAAGTAAAATTGAGATTGAATCTTCGGTATTTTAGAATGTATTCAAGGTGATATATGTGGATCAATTCATCCATCATGTGAACCATTTAAATATTTTAAGATTTTGATAAATTCATCCATAAGATGGTCATACATATGCTTATTATCTACTCGAAACCCGACGTTTTCAAGATTGTTAATAAATAATTTGATTTCGAGCATAATTTTCAGATTATGCCATTAAAGCAAGTCACCTTGATAATGCTAGTGAATTTATTTCGAAGCACTAAATTATTATTAATTGGCTATTAGAATAAAAGTTAAACATCTTATTGCTCATGTTCATACTCAATAAGATTTAGCAAAAATCATTTATCAAAAGGCTCTAATTGATAGCTAAACCATTATTAAAAAATAAAACTCCATATTTATGTTTGGGGACATACAATCTTACATGGATCAACACTTATTCGCATATGACCCATAAGTTATTAGAAATTCTCTCATCTTCAATTGATTTATGGTCATGAGTCATATATTTCTTATCTAAGAATTTTTTTGCATTGTAGTATATATCTTAGTGCTCCTTCATAAGGAAATAAAATGAGCACTTAAAAGAGATTGGGAATATATATTGGATTTGAATCCTCTTTGATAATTCAATCTCTTGATTCATGAATAAGAGAAAATTTTTTACAGCTCGATTTATCAACTACCATTTTAATGAAAAATTTTTCCCAACATTGGGGGGGGGAAGAGAATAAACAAAATAAGCAATTAAAAATGTTAAAAAAAAGAGATTACATAGAGTACTCTATCTTTATATCAATTTGGTACAAAACAATGTGAACTAGAAGTTCGGAAGATAATTTTTTTACAAGGTATTACAAACCAACTGCTAGATGCATTCTCATATTCTAAAAGAGTAACTAAAATGCATATCCTCGTTGAGAATGCTTCTATTAAAATTGATGTCCTAGAAAGATAGTTATTAATATTATAGCTAATGAATTTAAAGCACGCCCGAAGCGTAGAAAACCTATTAGTTCTAAAGATAAAAATCCTTAAAAGAAAATGGCAAGATGAAAATATAAAGGATGTAAATATTCACAAAACGATCCAAGATATTTTTGATAATAGGCTTCCAAAAGAAGTTCAAGTGCTTGAGAAAAATCAAGAGATTTTGATAAATTATGTCAATATAGGAAGAAAATATGACCGAAAAGAAACATCTATTGATAAGATTTCGCATATAATGTTGCAATTGATATTTTAAATGAAAATAAGGATCCCGAGCCTAAATTATTGAAAATATTAACAAAAGATGATTGGCCTAGATGAAAAGAGTAATCCAGGTATAATTATGTTCTCCTACAAAAGAGTAGTTTTTAGAACTCATGGCTTAAATACCCGAAGATGTTAAGCTAGTGGGATACAAATGTGTATTTATATGAACACGAAATAAGCAAGATGAGATTGTAAGATACAAAGAAAAACTTTTAATACAAGAGTTTTTGTAAAGAATTAACATTGACTATAAGGAGACATATTCTCCTATAATGGGTGCAATTATATTTTATTATCTCATTAGCTCGATAAAATATATGAAAAATATTCATATGCATGCATTTAATGAATATGATCATAATTTATTTGTTCATTTGAAATGAATCGGTATGAAAGTCCTAGAAGGAATTAACATGCCGAAGCATGTAATATATATTCTCGAGATAAGAATTCAATTAAATTATAGAGATCTCTATTAGGCTTATTTTAGTATTTGTTTTATTATTTTATTTTTTAGAAATTCAATTTATACTTTTTATATTTTATTTTTATATTTACTCGTTTATTATTAACCCATGTGCATGTGATATAATCACTTTAATGATTATTTGTTGAAAGAAATTTATAAAAAATAACTCTATTTGTTTATATATTTTTATTTAAAAAGGGGTTTGTTATATATGTTGATAAATTATATATTATTAGAACTCCTGAAGAGATTCCAAGTGTCATAAGTTATCTAAAAAGATAATTTAATGTGAATACCTTGGGAAAACAAAATGTTATTTTGACCTGCAGTTCAAGCACTTAGAGAATGAAACTTTTATTCATCAGTCAATTTATATTGAAAAAGTTCTACAATGATTTTATATAAACATCATTCATTGACTAA